ATCACCAATGGCCCCTGAAGGCTTGGAAGATGAGAGATTGCCATGGGGTTGGGTCAGGATCTCACACTCCAGGCACTGCATTTCCTTTCTCTCCTTTCCCCTGTTGAGCGTCTCCGCTCCAAGGCATCTTGCTGCAAAGGGGAGAGGAAAGGGAGCAGAAATGGGGCTGGGATTCATTCCAGACACAGGTAGTGCCAACCCTCGTCAGGGTGGGTCTCCCTGCTACCAAACATGCACTACGCACTGATTCACCCCGCCCCTCCGCTCCCTCCACATCCCTCCCCTCCCCATTCTGGACTGGACAAAAGGAGCTGAGGCCATTCTCAACTCAAACCCAACCAGTGAGCTGCTAAATTCTGGCAGTATGGTGTCTGATTCTTTAACTGTGTGTTCTACTATTTTTTTGTTAGTTAGTTAGTTGTTATGATTGCATGACTGATACCACGACCTTTAAGGTCTCTTTCAAGCCAAGCACAACTGTTTAATGACTCTTTGGTGGGCTGGAGATGAACAGGAGTTTGGAAGTTGGGACAGAGACAAGACAGCTGACAGAAAGAGCCAAAACGGATGCCACATACAGAATGAGGTCATGCTCAGCAAGAGCAGGTGGGGAAAAGAGGGAGAAGGGAGAAGTTTTGTCCTCTCAAAAAACAGGAAGCACGACCCCTGCTAAGGTCTCTGTGTGTCCCAAAATAGAAGCGGGGGCTTTGCAGACACAACAGATGCATCATGGGCTGCATCACAGGCTGTCGCTGTGGGTAACTCTCCGTCAGCTCAGAAACACCACAGGACGTGTCCTAGGCTCACAACACAGACCTGTGACCATCTGCACCCCGCTCACTGCAAAGCGGGTGCTGTGAGGAGAGATCTGCAGAAGATGTGGGGGCATTTAGCATGGAGCATGCCATGTGCTCGTGTCCCTGCCCTCCTGCTGCTAGTGTTCGGTGAGTTGGGGATGCTTTGGGTATTGGGGAACCCTACCTGGAGCAGGAAGCCCATCACAAAGAGGCTTGGGATGGTGCTGAGGGTGGAGATGGAGGACGTGTGGGATGGAGACTGGCACCAAAAGCACAATTCAGGAGTGCTGTGTGATTTTAAGGTTGAGGAGGCTGCATCTGGAAAAGAAAACCCATCCAAAATGGATTTGGGCTTGCTCAAATGGAGTCAGTGGATACAGCAAGGGGATAAATTGGTGGAGTGGTGTCTGCTGAAGAGTGGGGACATGGGCAGGTAGATGTGGGTGAGCAGGACATTGTCCCTCTAAACAAAACCCTCTCCGTCCCATGGTGCAGGTACTGGTGTGTGCAAGCAAGAGATCTGCAGCTCCAGGGCTGGTGGTGAGTGTGAGAATGGGTCCCGAAAGTGAAGACATCGTGGGGGAGGAGATGGGAAGAGAGAAAGGAATCTTTCCCAATGAATTCCCAGTGTCCACCACTGGAGTGCTGTTTGTCTGTGCCTTGGGATACAAGGTGTTTTTCAACTACTGATGCTGGTGGAATCCCTGTGCCATCTCTCCAGGTACTCTCCAGGCTCCAGTCCTGTTCCTTAACAGTTCAAGAGCTCAGGAAGGGGACGTTGTCCTGGCTCGATGTGTTCTCCAGAAACAGCTTCCTGCTACCCGAATTGTCTTCTGCAAGGATGGGTTGGAGGTGCGCAGCATGAAAGCCAAACAGAACACGGTCAGCTACTCTGTGCTGCTGAGCATCACTGAGGGAAGCAGTGGGACATATAAGTGTTTGTACGAGCAGAGGAACAAGGAAAACTGGCAGAGGAGCTCTGTCCTCAGTGCCCCCCGGGACCTGCATGTCACAGGTGGGACATGACACCAGGGTGGTGGGGATGCAGGGTACGGTGGAAGTGAACATCACATGGCTGTCCCATGTGCAGCAAGAGATGCTATAGAGAAAGGAGTGCTCTGTAAGGGTCACCCAGTCTCCATCCCGTGCTACAGAAGTGGGGGTCTGCAGTGCCCAGGAAGAGAAAGAAAAGATAGGGGGTGGCCATGGAGCCTTTAAAGCCTGGGTAAGGATGCTTCAAGGATTATTGCAATATCTTCATGAGTGTATGGAAGGGAAATTGGAG